CAACAAGACCCCCCTCCCCCCATCAGTGACTATTACAACAGATGCCTCCCTGATAGGTTGGGGCACCCACTTGGGTCACCACAATGTACAAGGCAAGTGGTGTGCAACGGAAACCTGACTACATATCAATCTCGTGGAACTCCGCGTGGTATACAACACATGCCGACACTTCCTCCCACTCATACGAGAAACCTCAGTCTCTATTCTCACCGACAATGTGGCGTGCATGTTTTACATCAATCACTAAAGAGGAGCCAGGTCTCACTCACTATGCGTAGAAACCATGAATTTATGGAACTTCTGCATCTGCAACAATATAAACACAACATCATGCCTACCAGTCGACCATCTCAACAGGCACTTCTCACAGAAACACGAGTGGGAAATCCACGACAGTGTTCTCGACACAATATTCCAAGGCACCTCTATCTATGATCCTAGACTTCCTACTAAAACTGAAGGAAACGGGGTTAGTCATAGGATCTATTAAAGTACACCTCGCTGCCATTATGGCTCCTCCTCGAACACCTAGAAGGGGCTTCAATATTCACTCACCTGATTTACACGGTGCTTTCTAGAAGGTATACAGAACATGTACCCAGAAGTACGCCAACGTGCACCACCATGGGATCTCTATCTTGTGCTCAAATGTCTCACAAGACCACCCTTCGAGCCTCTAGCAACCTGCTCGCTCCTTCATATGTCTATGAAGGTCGCATTCCTAATGGCAATTGCGTCTGACAGACGTGTCAGCGAAATAGGAGCATTGATGGCTGAACCACCGTACACTGTATTTACCAAAGACAAAATTACATTACATCCTCACCCAAAATTCTTGCCCAAAGTGGCTACAAATTTTCATATTAACCAAACCATACACTTACCTGCCTTCTATCCCAAGCCACATAACGATTCTTGAGAAGCATCATTGCACATGCTAGATGTCAGAGGGGCTGTAACCTTTTACTTGGACAGAACTAAATGATTTCGCAAGTCACCAAGACTATTCGTCTCTACAGCAGAGTGCTCCAAGGGCTCTACAATATCGACTCAGACTCTCCAAATGGGTCTCTACCTGTATTCAAACTTGCTACCACCTGCATCACAAAGAACCCTCCGTGAGCATCAGATCCCACTCAACACGAGTCATGGCGACACTGATTGCATTCTTGAACAATGTCCCCTTAATAGATATTTGTAGAGCTGCAACCTGGACATCGGAGCATGCTTTTGCAAAGCATTACGCCGTCACCCAAGGCCTTGTCTCAGACTCTATCGTTGGCCTTACAGTGCTCTCATCACACACTTTCATACATAACTCTGAACCCCTACTACCCCTGGTGGGGTACTGCTCTACAAGCACCTAGAGTGGAGCACGCACAGGGACACCACTCAAGTTACTCACCTTGTGCAGTAATGATGGTTCTTTAAGATATGTGTCCCTGTGGGTGCTCCACTACCCACCCTCCTCCCCTCGAAGTTCACACAGCCGAGCCCTACGATAGAGAAGGAACAGAGGGGACGGTCGGGGGAGCGGGCTCATGCTACAGGAAGAGCCAATGGCTGCACAAGACGATTCCTGTGCATGCCCTTCCCCCGATCGAGTATTGCTGCTAGAAATCTCTGATCTCCAGCGCAGGGACACACTGACACCTTGAGTGGAGTACCCATAGGGGGACACGTCTTGAACTATCATTACTGCACAAGGTGAGTAACTTCTTCCCAGTCAGAGCCAACTCTAATGGGGGGTCTCAGATTAGCATTATATCAAAGGAGGGGTTATATGACATGAGGCAATCTTTTTTTCTTCTTTCTTTAACCATTCAATGCAATCAGCCTTAATTATAGTAATCTCATGCATTGCAAGAGTAAATGGGTTAAAGGCCCTCATGGCTAACCAACCCTTTAATAAATTTGTTAGTCTCTAAGGTGCCACAAGTACTCTTATTCTTTTTGCAGATACAGACTAACACGGCTGCTACTCTGCAACCCTTTACTGTCCTTCACAAAGACAAAATAGTCCTCCATCCCCATCCTAAACTATTTTCCAAAGTGGCAACAGAACTCTATCTCAATAAATCCATTAACTTACCAGTATTTGTTCCCAGACTTTGTTCACATCCAAGTGAGGCAAAATTGCTTACTCTTGATGCCAAAAGGGCATTTGTTTTCTATTCAAATAGGACCAAGGAATTTAGAAAATCACCAAAACACTTTTTCATTTTGGAATAGTACTAATAGGGGACAAGCAATTATATTGCCATGTTTATCAGAATAGGTTAGTGCTGGTCTAAAAAGCTACAAATAAACACTTGTTCTCCACATAGTATGCCTGTCCTATTCCAATTGTAGAAATATGCAGTACTGCAACCTGGAGTTTTATTCATGTTCCACAAAACACTGTTAACTAGATCACTGGATCTAGCATCCTGGTCAGATGCTTAATTTGCTGTGTACTATAGCAATCAATTCAGACTTGTCCCTCCTTCCAGAGACTGTGGTACTGATTATGAAACTATCCCATGAAGTGGGAATTTGCAGAGGCGGAGGCGCTGTGAAGAAAAAATGAAGATGACTCACCTATAATCAGTTTTTTCAAATTGGACTGTGTTACTGCTCACTTTCCCTCTTCCTCATCTTTGGACCTGGAAAGGCAGTGGAGGGAACTGAGGCAGTTGGAATGCCATATCCCTTTCATAGCATAACCTTCAGTACAGTAGTTGCTCCAAATACCAAATGTGTGCAAGAAGGAACTGTTGTCCCTGGCAGAAGAAAAAATCTGGAGCAGAAATTCCCAAGGAAAACCTAGACAAAAATATTTTGCCCAAACCAACAAAACCCTTAGCATCTCAAAGTCAAAATGGGAATTTGTTCATAAGCTTGCAGTTTCTGTACGAGACTGTTCCTTTAGGTCTAGCCTACACAAGTACACTATTTCCTATTTTGAAGAGAGTAAAAGCTGTGGAACAGAAGTTGCTGCTTCACTAACATCTTGCTGTACATGTTTCTAGACAGTGTAATGGGAATATGTAGCCTAGAGCAGCTGTTTGTAGCATCTCCCTTTTTGTGACTAGCCATCCCCTCCCTTCCAAGTATGCGTAATCTCACACTTGCTGAGTTGTGTGTAGGTCACTGATAACTACCTATGAGCTTCTTCATAGTTACCAATCCCCAGATGCACATTACCATATTTTGGGCCAGTTTGTTCACCTCTTCTGTGTGGCATTTGGTCAGTGGGTGATAAGAAGACCTGAATCACTTGCTCCTGATGTATTTTAAAATATCACCAGTCTACTCCAAGAGTTCTGAATTTCCTCTAAAGTGATACTTCTGGTGGTGAAAGAAAGTCAAACGTTACAAACTTCGTAACTCTTTGCCCCTGTATTCAGTATTAGTTTCTTCCCCTCATTTGGTTAGTTTCAGAAAAAGGTCTCTTTTTTTCTTTACACTTAGCAAACCTAAAAAAGCCCCCTCACCATTCACTTAATGTGTTATGAATGCATTCTTCAGACTTTCCATTAGGCTAATTCTGGTAAAAGTGTGCTGTGTGCTGTCCATAAATAAGAGTTAAAATAGGTTATTCTCGTAAGCACATATTTATAGCATCCTTAAGCACAGATTCCATAAACTAAGCCATAATAGGGAATGGGGGATGGAGGGTGGTGGTGGTGGTTGTACAGAACTTTAAGCTGCACTAACTTTTTACAGATGGCTTTAATTTTTGCTCCAGCTCTGGTCTATCAATGTTTTTAACATTAAATGGTGGCTACAGAAAAGAGAATGAAATATGAGCTCTTAGTTGAGTTTTCATGTATATGTTCTTGGAAATACATCCCACTTGTGTACAGCTGTTTAACAAAAAGTTATTCCCACTACCAAATTGAGCACTTGTTTTATATTTTAAGCTTTCAGTTTTTGGAGTGGGTAAAAACAGTGCAGGCCTTTTCTAATAAAACATTAATTGGTGCGTTTGTTAAATTATTGAACAAACCTATACAAACTTTTATTAAACATTGACTTTTAAACTCCATGTTAAAAATGTGGTGGTCTTTTTCTGAAACACAGTACAGTACAATAAGGTAAGTCTATTGTAACTGCTTTCTAATAAATACATTGTTTGTATGCAGTGATGTTGTAGTTGTGTTGGTCCTACCTTGTCTTTGTAATAAACACATTAAGTACACAACCACTCTGAATGTGATTCACACTAAGTTACTGTTTCTTGCACGTGTGTAGATACAGACTCTCTCTCTCTGTGCTTTTCTGACTCTGGGGTCAGTGATATTCAAGCTAATTAGCTGTACAAGCCTTGCTCAGGCCTTCTCGTCCCAATCACTTCGGAGCATTCATTTTACATTGAACAATGACACTCCACCCATCAAATCAGCTATAGTGCACCTGAAACCTTCTTTCCCTTGAGTTCCCTCTGAAGGTGTCAAGCTGTCGTCTTACATGACACTTAAGTGTATTGCCTATTGACTTCCCCTCCTTTCATCCCTTTCTCCCCAGCGGTCGTGAGGGCATCATCACTACAATATTCTTGGTCAAAAAGTACTCTAGAGAATTTGGGCTTCCCAAGTGAAAGCCCATAGTGCTACAAGCTATACTACTAGTCCTGTCTTAAAAAAACAAAATAAAAATTCTTCCCCCTTTAACGGAAAGCGTAGTTCAAATTAGTCCACACATTTTAAACTATCACTTGCCTTATGATCTTAGATTGTAGAGGTACACCTTGACTGTGTTCTCTGCTGATTTCACAGGATGGAAAATCCACTCTGTGTGGTTCTGCCTTGTTTTAGTTTTGATGACAAACTGGTACACTAATGTGCTTTCTCAAATTAAACAGTTGACATACTGCACTACAATATAGTCAGTGGTTTTAAACACAGATGTATTTTTATACAACTCTTTGAGCACTTATTTCATTGTGCAGAGAGAGAAATATCTTTATCTTTAGTCTAATGCAGAATAATTTAACAGCATGTTTTTAATTTCTTTAGGCAATCAGAGTTTTCTTCATGCTCCGTTCACTGTCACTGCATTTACGAGACGAGCCAGAAACTCAGTTGCCATTGACAAGGGAGGAGGATCTAATAAAAACGGATGATGTTCTTGACTTGAGTAAGTAGCTTCCTCCCACCTCCAATTATCTAGTACGTTTAATGGAAAGTTGCCCATCTCTTTTAAGGAACTGACAAAAAACCAATAGGTTTTCTCTTCATGTAGCTGCATAATGAAGACTGATGTCTTGCTACTAACTTTAGCATCCGTTAGAAGTCTGTTAGGTTGGGAACATGTCCCACCAGTGATAGATAATTTAATATTTTAATTCCATTTTTAACAGTTGTACTTCATTTATTTTTCCTTCCTTAGGTCCTTCACTAGAGTTTCATCTACTTTAATACCTGAATAGGTTTTCCTAGTAGAAACTTTGCTTGTCTTAACTAGCTGGTCCTGAGAGGATGCATTTTGTTCTTATTCTCTTGTGCTTTGGTTTTTGAATTCTGCCCTTCCAAAATGTGCACAAACCAAATTTAGAGGGCTAGAGTAAATCCAACTACATCTACACAATCTTTCTGGTATCACTCTACCTGTGTCCCTCTTTCCTCAACACATCTCTGTTCTAGCATTTAAAGATGGTAATACAGTGACTTTTTCTCCAATTGAATAGCACACCGACCTATCCCGGGGGGGTTTAAAATTTGCAAGTTCAGGTCAGTGCAGCATGCACATGGTACAGTCTCTGAGCCTTAAACGATGCCTGTGTAGGAAGTTGAGAGTCAAGGTAGTCTCTATCGGCAATATCATTAGAATGAGATTTTTGGATTCTCTATTGAAGAAGCAGAAAACTGGGAGAGAAATGGAATCTAGTTCTGTGCTCTTCAAAATTAGTTTGTTCTTTGCCGTAATTTGTGAACTAAACCTTAAGTACTATTATGTAATTTGTTCAAAATGATAAATGGGAAAGCTCACTGTACAACTAGGTGTAATCAACTGTTTTTACTTATCTGTGCATCTTGGTAAATGATAAGGTTTCTGTATAAATCAAACAGTCTGCCACCAGAGCAAGTCTGGCCTTAAGTCACAGAAGCACAAACTGCAGTAAACTTACTCCATGACTAAGATGCAGTATAAGAAAAGGAAACTTACCATGGTTTTAGTCTCTATTTTAAAAAAAAAGTGTGGGGTGTCTTTTTTTTCATTAAATAAAATAGCAGTGTGTGTTCAGAAATATAATTTTGGTTTTTCCATCCTAGTATAGAAAAAGTATAATAATGTCATGCATTGCTTTACTGTAATAAAGATTAAAAGAATTTAACTATCAATTTTAATTGATTACAGATAGCCAGTTAAGCACTTAACTGATAGTGTGCAGGCAGCTACCTTATTAAGAATTTACAGGCAGTGCATCTGAATCTAATATGATTTAATACAGTGTAGCATGTCGTAACTGAAGTAGATTCAAGTCCCAGCAAATAAGTGAAGTCTACCTATATCTAAATGGCATACTGTAAACTAAGACAAGAGAGAGAGCTGAAATCACATTTCTGACACTTCGGGCTCATAACACTGTAATGGTACACTTGATTGTTTTGTTGATCCTATTTACCACAGTATCTGTTTTTCCTGTGTTAAACACTTTCAGGTTGTTTATGTTCAATGGGATTATCTCATAAGTGTTGTAAGGGTATTTTAAAAGGAGAACTTTTTTTAGCATAATTGATCTGATTTTGAGGCACAGAAACAAAAGACGTGTTTAATCACCTGAAAAAAAGAAAAGGAGTACTTGTGGCACCTTAGAGACTAACAAATTTATTTGAGCATAAGCTTTCATGAGCTACAGCCCACTTCATCGGATGCATTCAGTGGAAAATACAGTGGGGAGATTTATATACACAGAGAACATGAAACAATGGGTGTTACCATACACACTGTAAGGAGAGTGATCAGGTAAGGTGAGCTATTTACCAGCAGGAGAGTGGGGGGGAGGGGAGAGGAGAGGGGAACCTTTTGTAGTGATAATCAAGGTGGGCCATTTCCAGCAGTTGACAAGAACTTCTGAGGAACAGCTGGGGGAGAGGAGGGATAGTTTTACTTTGTGTAATGATCCATCCACTCCCAGGCTTTATTCAAGCCTAAGTTAATTGTATCCAGTTTGCAAATTAATTCCAATTCAGCAGTCTCTCTTTGGAGTCTGTTTTTGAAGTTTTTTTTGTTGAAGAATTGCCACTTTTAGGTCTGTAATCGAGTGACCAAAGAGATTGAAGTGTTCTCTGACTGGATTTTGAATGTTATAATTCACCTGAGTGAGGGAAACTCTTTGAACCCACAACATGCCCAGACTTTTCATTTAATCCCAGAGTTTGACACCAGTACTGCTAGGCCAATAGCCATGAGTTGAAAGAGCATTCAGAATAAAAATATACAAATGACATTGAACATTCCACTTTAATTCTTAGTAATATTATCAACAGCTTAAGTAGACCAGGTACACAATCCTGGACACACCCCAACTGGGTTTCTGATAGAGGAATTTGTAAAATGAAGTGATCTGGTTGGTGTGTTCATTTGGTTATGAATCTCATTTGAACTAAAATTGAGCAATCAGCTCCTGGAAGAGTTTCAAGCAATTTTGATGATAAAACAACAGGACAGAGCTGATTTACTGAAAAGGGGATAGATGCTGTCCCAGTAGTTAACTAAACTGGATTAAGAGGAACAGCCGTGTTAGTCTGTATTCGCAAAAAGAAAAGGAGTACTTGTGGCACCTTAGAGACTAACCAATTTATTTGAGCATGAGCTTTCGTGAGCTACAGCTCAAATAAATTGGTTAGTCTCTAAGGTGCCACAAGTACTCCTTTTCTTTAAACTGGATTACTTACAAAACACAGCAGAAATGTACTAGTTTGCATGTTTAGTTTCACGGGTAGCAACATGGAGGTATGGTATTTTAACAAAACCTTAAAGTTGACAAAAATGCTAATCGTGGGAGAGATCGTGTAGGTGATGACACAGTAAGAAGTGGGTCTTTTTTAACTTGCGGTGTATATGGTAGTTTTGACTTTGTAAATCAAACTAGTTTACTTTGCATTAAAGTAAAAATTAGTCCTTTCAATCTTCATGAAGTATTCTGACAGAACAGAAAACATTTCACCAAAGTAGTAAGTTGTATATTTATAAGAGGTTTCAGAGTAGCAGCCATGTTAGTCTGTATCCGCAAAAAGAAAAAGAGTACTTGTGGCACCTTAGAGACTAACAAATTTATTTGAGCATGAGCTTTCGTGAGCTACAGCTCACTTCATCGGATGGCACAACCTACCATACTTCCTGTTGGATGCTGATGGAATTTGGAGGTAATTTTGCCAACCATATGGGTGAATGGAAACTTGCACTGCATTTGCTTATCCAGCTGGCATAAGTGGTTTCAGAGGCCATTTCTATCAATCTCTATTTTTTAAAAGTCCAGATGTACACATTTAAAGCCAATTAAGAGTGCATACATTTTGCCTGCCTTTTTCACTGTAGCTATTAACATATGAGACACTAAAAAAAACCCTGTACAGATTTTTTTGTAGGTTTTGAGAACAGTTAATTATATTTTAACAAAGTATTGCAAAAGTCTTGGAATATATGTAGAAACTATCCAAGAGGATGAATTTTCATTTTTGCAACATGCCCATAATTTTTTTTAAATGTAGTTTTTGCCTCAAAATATAGGGAAAACACTATTAACAGTCGTTGGTTGGACAGGAAAGCAACAGAATCCTACCTGCATACAGCTAGTTATTTTCCAATGAATTGACAATATAGAACTAACATCATTCCCTGTGTTCTCCTGAATTACACTTTTGTTCTTCTGTTGGGTCTGTGAAGTGGAATAATGGAAGTTTCCCACTGCAGAAATCAAGTATATAGTTTATAACTAATTTGAAATGCAATATGATGTAGCTGTCAGTTTTGTTTATGTGTTAAAGTAAATCAAATTGCAACATTCTTTTTCACTTTTAAAGTGGGATGATGTAGTTGTTTCCTGCATATTGATTATTTGATTGGTATCTGTCTCCTGCAATTTTTTACTTTCAGTAATGCTCATTGATGTGGTTTAATGTGTGTTCCTGTAATCTTTTCCTGTTTTTATAAAATAATCATAATCAAGTTATGGTACTGTACATTAGACTTGTTCTGCTAAAGTAAATAATTTGTTTAATATACTTTTCTCATGGTTTTTATATTCCCACCTCTCCCCACCCCCAATATTATTGCTCTTAAAACTGTTTAAGAGTTGTATTTTTTTTCAATCAGGCATTTTAATGGAAATACAAATATTTCTTTCTTGGAAATATTAACTATATTCCTATTCTGTTAAATTTTATTTATTGATTTATTAAAAAGGCACATTTTAGAGTCTGCTTTATGCAAAAATATAACTAAAAATGTAACTTTAAAAAATACACCTTTGACATAAGTGACTTGTTCGATTTGTTTCTAATTTGTTTCTTTGGGAGAGCAATTCTACTGTATTGGAACAATAGAGCAAGTCTTCTCAGGTAACACAGGATACAAGACTAATGAGATTTTTTTTTTTTACGTTGCATGGAAGATTAATCTTCACCTATTATCTAGGCTTATCTATGTATCTTCTACATACATTTCATAGACTTTTTGAGAAGGCTTTTGACAGCATTCACAGGACCAGCCTATGGCACATTCTTCAGGCATGTGCAATTCCTTTCCATGTAATCTTCATCAAAAGCTTCTCTTTCAACTTTACATGCAGTGTTTGTTTGATCACAGTGAGCTCAGTTTTGAAGTCAAAACAGGAGTACGTCAGGGGTGTGTCATGTCTGCAGTCCTCTTCAACATTGCCATCTTCAACAATGCCAAGAGGCATTAAATGGGCACTCTTCTCATCCTTTGAAGACCTGGACTTGGCAGATGATGTCGCTCTCCTGTCACATACCCAACACCATATACAAGAAAAAACAACTTGACTCAACACATTCAGTCAGCAGATCGGACTGAAAATCAACCACAATAAGACAGATGTATCATGACCTTTAATATTGCCTCACCATCACCAGTACAGATGGAGGATTATGTTGTCACCAACGTAGAAACAT